TGTTTGGGTGCCTCACGAACTCTCCAATGATCATTGTTTCCAATGTTTCAATGCTGCTTCGTCTCTTCTGGCTCGTGAACCATTTTTAGACAGAATTGTCACCGGTGATGAAAAATGGATTCTCTATGCAAATATTAATTGCTAAAAACCACTTCGGCCCCAAAACATGGACTCCATTTGCAGAAAGTGATGCTTGACATTTAATGGGATGTCAAAGGAGTAACTCATTTCAAACTCCTCAATCCTCAGTGAACTGTCAATGCAGAGATCTATAGTCAACAACTGGAATGCTTAAATCAAGCCCTTCATCAGAAACGCCCTTCACTCATTAATCGGAAAGGTGTTTTTATCCACAACAATGCACATTCGCATGTGGCATGTAACACAAGATTATGGAGTTGGGTTGGACAGTTCTCCCCCACCCACCATATTCTCCAAATATGGCACCATCAGATTACTATCATTTTCGTTCGCTGTGTTATGTCTCTGTATGTTTGTTTGTTAATTTTTCTGCAATACAAGTCCTTTCTTAAATAAAACTAGTTTATTTTTCCTCAATACAACTTTGCAATACACTTAATTTCCACAGTTACTTTAACTTAAACACATGCTATAATTCACAACAATTCATTCACTTTACTACCGTGCTTGACTTAATTGTCCGTCTCTATCTCCGCCTGTCAGCAACTATAGTTCCGATCTCTGTATCTGCTATTCTCGGTTCACACTGACCGTAACTGGTGTCCTTGGTTCCCCACTCTCTCTATCTTGTCTCCTTTGTCTTGCACACTTATGTACAATAATAGCGCCTGCGTAGCCTCTTCGAGAATCTTCTAGACACTCATCACGTGCTACCAGCATCACTTGACTTCCACTATCGTAACACAAATGCGCGCACAGCACGCACTAGCGTTTTTCGCGAATCTTCTAGATAATCATTATGTGTTACCAATGTCACGTGACTTCTGCTGTCGTAACAGCTGCAACACCATCTTAATGGGAAAACATATGCAATGTGAAAGGCATTAAAGAGGACATCAACATGTTATTTGCTTCAGAGCCAAGTGATTTCTTTAATCAGGGCATGAACAATCTGATTGTAAGATGGAAAAGCATCATCAATAAGAATTGAGACTATTTCATTTAATAAATGTTTTCTTTCAATATATAGGTTGTTTTTTTCATCTAAAAAATTCGAGATTAATTTCTTGATGACCTAATATATAAAATGTATTTTCATCATTAAAACATTTAAAAGTTTATGTTATATATACGTACCTTATCTGTATTAAAACACAAAACAATCATCTTACATTATCTGTCTTTTAATGTTAAACATAAAACAGTTGCTACATATAATGTTTTTATTCATCAGTAAAACATTTAACTAAGTTTATATAGTATAAAGATTTGGAATTTAGTGTTACAATAGTTCCATTAGTGTACTTTTGTTGTTTTTTCATATGAGGTATATATATATATATATGTATATATTTTGTTGAATAAGACCGATGTCTGTAGGTTTACTTTCTTCTTGAGAAGATTTCTCAGAAGAAAGTAAACCTACAGACATCTGTCTTATTCAACAAAATCTGCCTACAAGAAAATCTGTCACCAAAGTACACCAATAAATATATATATATATACTCAGTAGGGTAAAAACAGACGTGAAGAAAAAAAAAGATGTGAAGAAACTTATCAATTTATTCAAAAGTTATAAAGTTAATGTTAACTTTAAGATTAGTACTTAATAAAACTTTGTAATATTTTTTACAGGATACATGTTCTAATTCGTAACCTGTTTCTCTTTAGTCTAACTGCAGGTTTTGATAAAGATATAAAGGTGAAGCTGTGATGTAACCATGGATGTATCAAAGATGAAAGTTGAACCCTTTTCTGAAAATGAGCAGGATGATTTGTTGGATATGAAATTGACGAAAAATGAAGATGAAACTCCTACGTTATCTAGTAGTAAGTGTATATATATGTAGAATATAAATATTTTGTGTTATGTCCAACACAAGTAGTGTGAATGTTACCTGTGTAACAGTGTACATGAATTTTCTGTCAGTGATTATTAGATATTTCTTATTGAGTTAATTTCCTCTGTCAGGTACATACACCAGTAAAATTAGGTTATATTCTTCTGCTTATTTTGGTCTTTGATACAAGTGACACTGCTGTGATTATAATCTATACCATCACCTGTGGGTGAGGTTATTTAAAATGTCATGCTTGTACTCTACTAACTAAACTAATTTTTAACCTATTGTCTACTGTTAGTAAAGAACTTTATATCAATACACAGTACACTTATTTCATCTATAATGTTTTTGTACAATTATCTTACTGATAAGAAATTAATATTATTGTCATTAAAACTAATAATTAACAACACATAAATATATAATGTTATTTCAATGTTAAGTATGAAGTATGGAGAACTTTAATTTTTTGTATAAGTAAAAACAAATTATTTTTTTTAAGTGCACTACTTAAAATATTTGAGAACTAAATACCTTCAGTTCAACCTTACTCACTGTAGAATTTTAAAGTAAGTACTGAAAACTTTGACTTGAAGTGTTAATTACCAATCTTAGCATGGTGTTAACAACTTGATCAATTTGATTGATTTGTAAAGACCTGTAAACTGTGAA